AATGGGATATGTGGCAAAATCTTAACCATGGAATTTTGGTTAATTTTTAGATTATAATTCTTTTTATGTTATTTTTGCCAATTTCTCTATAAATTATATCTTTTCAAAGTATTTTACCATATTACATATTCTTTTGATAAAAGATCTTAACGGGTCTATAATATTTTTAGACGCCCCGAAAGACACGTAAAATCAATACTATAATAACACAAAAGCCTCTCCATAGAGAGACACATTAGCATTTTTAAGCATTTTGGAACTGCCACCTTATTAAAAAAAAATATTTATTCAAAACCAATTAGATCATTTTATTAATACACATCATCAATAATTATACACATCAAAAAGTATTTAGTCTATGCACGAATTTTTTTTACTCTTCTAGACGTTTAGATTCATTCACTTTCGCCATATTCTCAAAACCGTTCCACCTTCACACTTAATTGACATTAACTTAAGTTGATCATATAAAAAAACAATCGTGTGTGTATATATGCCTATATATGTGAAAATATTTATTCTGGAATGAAGATGTTTTGTAATGGAGACTTGGAGAGACAAATGTCAGATGACAAAATCTCAGGCAGATCCTACGACACTTGCACAATTTCTCCGTCCTTCTCAGAGAGATAAACCGGTAAATGGAATCCAATTGTTTTTTTCTTCTTTTGAATACTAAATTGATTTTCGTGTGTATAATCTGATACATTTTCATGTATAGAAAGATTTGTTAGTCTTTTCTTTATTATTTTAAAACATTTTTTTTGTATCTAACGATACTGAAAGACTATTTAATAAAAAATATAGATAGTTTTCTATGTTTGGGAATGATTTCAACTTTAGTTTTTTTTTTCATTTAATTTCAACTAATATTTGAAGAAATATTTTTTTACTAAATTAGTTAAAAGAAAACGAAATAAAAAATAACTGCAGCGTAGCACGGGAGTTAATCTAGTATTAACTAATTAATCATTTCTTTTGCAGTAAAATTTCTGAATAATTTAGTTTTTTTTTTAGTTAGCAATTTAGTTAATTTTTATAGAAAACTTCATTTCTAATTTTTATACTAAAGAAAACAAAATTTAAGGCTGATGTGGCACAAAAAATGATGTTTAGGTGTCAACCATTTGTGAAAGACACTCAACTTATACATATATGATTAATTTTTATTTTAAACATGGATCAAAATCACTTCATTACAGATACCTCCAAAACGACAAACATAAATATATACTCATTCCGTTTCACAAAATATATCATTTTGACACATTTGATGCGGATTAAGAAACTTTTAAATATATCAAAATACCCATATTTAATACACTACTAATCAAACAACAATAGTTTAGATTTAATGTATCTTAGCTTTTAACGAGGGATAAATGATAAATAGATACAAAAAATCTCATTGAAAACGTAGAATAACAATTTTGTAAAACAAAAAAAAATGACTCTAAAATAATACTCTTAATTAAAGAAAGAGTAAATTTTAAAACTAAAAGCACACGTAAAATTTTAAGTCGATAGTGAAACGGCAAAATATTTTAAAATTGCAAATCTTATAGAAAATTTTAAAAATAGGTAGAATATTTTAGAATTTAAGAAATAAACTAAATTTTATAGGAAAAATTAAAAGAGTAGGCCAAATATTTGTGTATTCTTGTGCCACTTTTCACCGTCCAAGTGAGAAGATTGTCCGAGTCTCCTTCATCAAGCAAAGCGCCTTCCATGAGCCGTTTTCATGCGGGTGATGAAACTTGAATATCTTAGACTCATCCGGAATATGATTTTCCACAACATGCTTTGGAGTTTTTCTGAAAAACAAAATAAAAGATTCACATATCGCCAAATCAAAAACACTTTGTATAAATTGTTTTGTTGTGTTTTTGGTTTTAATCTTTCCAAGAAGTTGAGGTATGATTGGTTTAGATTGTGAATTCTGGAATACTAGTCTCCATTTCCGTACTTTTAATCTTCTTCTTGGATGTTTTGGATTCCTCAGCTTTCTTCTTAATTTCTCACTTTAAACTCGACTCCTTCCATAAATTCACATGTTTCCACAACATAGACCATTTTTTTTGCTTTTGATATTTTTCTCTTAATAACAAATCAACTTCAAGAGACTCATTTTCTCTTTTTTCGAGATTTGGAACTCTTTAAATCACATAGAAGGATTTAGAATACTCTTTAACTCATGTTAAAAAAAAAGTAATTATGTAAATTTTAACCTTTTTTTTAATTACAACGTATATGACCTATTTTTTAATTTTAATTATTTGGATATTTTCATAATTATATATTTTTTAAAGAATTTTACCATATTAAATATATCTTCGATAAAAAAAAACTGAACGGATCTAGAAATATTTTAAGACGCCCTTACTCAGGTTTGGGAAAGACGTAAAATAGTCAACTAACTAAGAGCATGTGGAATGCTAAATTCATGTTTTGTGTTCTTAAGACATATTTTATTATTAATTTAGGATTATGATTGGTTAAGAACCAATTTTGTGTTCTGATGTATCCTGATTTTTACGGTTTTTAATACGGTTTTTGTAACTATATATAATGGTTTCGTGCTTTTATGCCTTAAGTGGTAGTTTTAGTGTATTTCTAGTGTTTAGAGTCTTTTATAGGTCATTTGGACAAACATGCAAAAAAAGAGATATTGGACAGTTCCGAAACATCATATGTCGAGCAACAGTTGGAGGCCTTAAATTCATTGGATGGAGCTAAAATTTAGAGATGAGATAGATGATTGAGACATATTTCTTTCAGAAGAAGTTTGAAGCTATTTAGATTAAAATCCAGAAAGTTATTCCAATTCTCGTGGAGACATATGAATCTAGTCCGCGAATGAAGCATGCGAAGATATTAGACCGACCGGAGAGCTCGACCTAAAAACAAAGACAACGCGGTCGATCTAGTCCTAGCCCGACCTAAGAGACCGATTTTAGCCTTCCTTGCACGAGACCGGTCTTCTATGCTGAAAAAACGGATTTTTCTTTTTCGTCCAGAACTTCTCCAATTCGACCCAAGAAATATCTAAACCTATTTATACATGTTTTTAACCACTTTAGCATAGGGAGACACATATTATTCTATAGTTTTGACTTACTTTCGTTTTTGAGATTC